CGATGAATTCTTGTTGAGTTTCGTTTGTTTCATTTCATGATCAGTGTCATGTTACATGTTAAAAGATAACTTTTTCAATTGTCTTATTGTAATCCATCCTAGCTTTTATTCAAAGGTCTTCTTCTTTATTATAAATGAAATGTAATAGATATCTATCATAAAGTGAGAAAAAAAATCCAGAGATACCATTTTTCGAGTTAAAAGAAAAAGAAAAAGAAGGACTGTATATAAGATGATGGTTACCATTTAATCTTTCATATTTGTGACTTAGGTAGAAAGAACTCCTAAGTCAAATGGATGTGATCTCTGTAATGATAGATGGATCTCATAATTATAATTTCACAATATTTTCTTCTCCAAATTCTTTTCAAAAACTTAGATGAGGATAATTCTGTCGCAGTTTTTTATAATATAATTGCCGTTTTCTTAAGACGAATAAACTAACAATTTTTTATCAGTAGTGCACTTCTAACATTTCTTCTTAATTGATTTCACCTTTTCAGAATCACAATCAACATTACCAAGAAAAAAAGCAACAACTACAGTATTATCACAGCCAACACTTGGAAAGCTACCTAAACCTAATTACTAAAATATGGAAGATAAAAAGCTTCTTATTGGCAAAAATGAAGAAGATGTAGAGATGGCTGCAGAACGAGCAACTGTATTAGATGCATCACCAGAATACAAAGTAAGTAGTGTTGTGTTTAAGGGTGCTGTCTTAGTATTAGCACTGCATTATCCTAATTTTAACTTAATATTAATGCTAAGCCAACACCTGTAGTTCTGTTCTATCTGACATTTAGCCAGGAAATTAGATTTCGTATGAGTTTGTCAGAAAAAGTTACGAAATGAAATAACTATTTTTAGAAAGTTCAAGAAGAAAGTTAATTCTATGTCTAGTTAATGTTGTTTTTGTAGAATTCTTTTTGTGAAATATGATCTGTAAGAGAGTATTAATTGAACGAATTCAATGTTTTGTTACGAGAACAATCAGCACTTTTTAGAGAATTCTAAATGAATAATTTTTTGTCTAATATTTAGTCTCAATCCGAGAATAAAAACAATATTAAACAATCTACTCGTTCACAAACAGGGTCGTAAGTATTTGATTTATTTATTCGAAATATATCTATGATTCTAGATCTATGTTTCATCGGAAATCAATATCGATTTTAATTATCATTATCGTTCTCAGCCTGATAACTATCATTAGTGTTACAATATGGTTTATTTTCATTAAAAAGACCGAAGCAACAATTAATAGTAAGGTTTTGTTATAAAAGAAAAAAAATAAGAACTGACATAATTCTCGGGTCTAAAAACAATAAGCTTCACACGTAAAATTCCAAATTTGTAGCTCACTTACGCATCCATATTTCACCTAATGATATTTAAAAGTATATAGTCGCCCAAAACAGATTAAGAATTCAATGCAGAAGAAATCTGTTATGGAATATGAAGTGCTATTTCCTAAACAGAATAATCGTACTCAACACTCATTATTAACACTCCCAAAACAGAACAATTGTGTTCTATTTTTGGGACTTTTCAAGTGTGAGTATAGTAGAAGAATCACCCACACCCTCAAATTTTCTTCTGCTTCTTCTTTTCATCAAAATCATTTGTTTTAATCATTTTCTAGAACCAAAGTGGAACAAATGGAAACAAAATGGCATCACTGTAGCTGGTGGAAAAGGAGAAGGACAACAATTGAATCAACTCAATCGCCCTTTTGGAATCTTTATTGATAAAAACAAAAATATTTTCATTGCTGATTGTGAAAATCATCGTATTATTGAATGGAAATATAATGCAAAACAAGGACAAGTCATTGCTGGTGGAAATGGCAAAGGAAATCGAACGGATCAATTGAATAGTCCAACAGATGTGATTGTCGATCAACAAAATCATTCAATCATTATTGCTGATCGGAGGAACAGACGAGTGATCCAATGGTTGAATCAAACTCAACAAATTCTCATTGATAATATTAACTGTTATGGGTTGGCAATGGATAAATATGGATATCTTTATGTTTCTGATACTGAGAAGAATGAAGTGAGAAGATGGAAAATGGGAGAATACAATGAAGGAACTGTAGTGGCAGGTGGAAATAGTCAAGGAAATAAACGCAGTCAACTCGATCGTCCTGCTTATACCTTTGTTGATAAAGATCAAACTGTTTATGTATCAGATTGGGGCAATGATCGTGTGATGAAATGGAGAAAAGACGCAAAAGAAGGAATAGTTGTGGCTGGAGGAAATTGTCGAGGAGGAAGTCTCAATCAATTGTTTTTTCCTGAAGGAGTAATTGTTGATGATTTGGGTCAAATCTATGTGGTAGATTCTTGGAATAATCGAATCATGCGTTGGTGTGAAGGGAAAAAAAAAGGTGAAGTTGTTGTTGGTGTAAAAGTTTCAGGGAATCAATCAAATCAATTGAGTTGGCCCACAGGTCTATCTTGTGATTATGAAGGAAATCTTTATGTTGTTGATCCGAGAAATAATCGAATTCAAAAATTTGAAATAATTTTGTGAATGAAATTTTTGTTTTCAAGAAAAAAACATTCCATTGAATAAATAAGCTGGAAATAAAAGGAAAAATAAAGTTGTATTGTCGAAAATCAATGGAAAGAATTGATTAAAACTTGAGAAAAAGAAATATTTTATGAAAAATTAGTAATAAAAATTGAACTGAAAGCTGCTTTATGAAAATGAAATAAGTGCAAAGAAATTTTTAAAATAAATCAATGAACATTTTCATTTAGATGAAAGCAGAAAAATAAAATTACGAAAGAACTATGAACAAGTGATTGAAATAATACAAAATTCAAATTTGCTTCTTATTTTCAAAGATTTTTGATGAAATAAAAATATCTATATCTGATTTTTTTAATAAAACTTTCAAAGAGATGTTTATTATTTTTCAAAGAAATTAAAATAAGTATTTGATGATTTCTTTATCATATTTAATTCAATAATTTTTAAATAAAAATTTTGTTGGTTTTAATTTCAATTTTTTCTTTTAGAAAATGAAATTATTAAAACTGAAAATCTTTTTTAATTTGATATTTTGATGAAAAACTATTTTAAATTCAATTTTCTCGTTTCTGATAAAAAATCGAATTTATTTATTAATTTCAAATCAATGAAGTTGTTTGTGAAAAAGAATTTGAAGGTGTGACTTTTACTTTTTTATCCATATTGACAATTCAAAGTAGAATTTATTAAGAAAATTGTCTAATTAGAAAAGTTGAAGAAATGGTCGATTAAATAATTTGAAAGATTTTTGTAAATAGAAACAAAATGTTTATTATCAAATTCTAATTAGTTGAAATTAATAAACATTTAATAAAAATGATTAAGTTTCATGATGAAATCAATTTTTGAAATATTTTCAAATAAATCTATCAACAATACGTGTGACTGAGGAGAAATATCTTTTGTCCTTAAGAATAAAATAAGAATTATTTATGTGATTTGAAACTTTAATTTTTGGAAATAGATCTATAAAACATAAGTAATGTTAGCGACAGATTTCCGCATCCAATAAGGCCACCTCAGACGGAGACATCGACTAATAGCGGGTAGTTTCACCTAAAATACTGGCTGAATGTAGGTATGGATCATTCGAAATTCAATGCCCTCACTGACAGTCCACACCCTTGTACAAAATATGAACATATAAAAGATCTTTTTTCTTGAATAAGAAAATCAATGAGTGATAATTGTATCAGATTTAAATTGAGATGATAGATATTTATGTTCAACATTTTCTTCAATTAATCATTTAGAATTAATATCATTAGATACACAAAAAACTCTGAGATAAAATTGAGCATATTAATTATTAAATGTGTTTACCATGAAACAAATAGAAAACTTACAGATTTGTTTCATTTTATATGTACTGATTCATCTAAATGCAAAAGCTATTAGATAGAGGTAGTTTTTCGGTGTTGTTGTTCGTATATAAATAATTTTTCTAATAAAATCATCTTTACTTATAACTTTATGTTCTCTTTATATGTTTTTGTTTAATTTTGATGTTTATTATTAAATATTTCATTTAGAAAATCATGCAGCAAATGAAATATTTAAAGCAAAAGAATACGTTCAGATGTAATTATAAATTTATTTCTCAATTTTTACTGTTTTTAGTTTTCTAAATTAATCGAAACTCATTCAAACTCTTTATTTAATAAAAATCAATCAATTCTATTAGAATATGCAAAAATTGGCTATGCATCATATAACAAATGTTATTTGTATGTTCAATTCATTTCTGATAAGAATATAT